TATCCTTTGGATTCTGACTTCCCTCTTTTCACCGAGGTCATCGTCCGTACACTCATACAATTTGCGAAATTTGGAATACAAAGAGAGGTACGAAAACAACCTAGACCGTAACGTAAACGCCATTTAGACCCACGAATTTCGGACCTCTATCGCTTATGGGAAAGTGGAATGACATAATGTGCTTACACGAACAATTAAGCCAAGCCGGAACCCGCGATAACTCTTTTGGCTCACTGAAAGAAAATGAGGCTGTAGGAGGACAAAGTGGGTGGAGAGGATAGTTCGAAGTGATGCAGGAAATGTTTGCTTGTTGAGCTGGGCTACCGCATTGTCCTGATGCGACGTCTACCTAAATTCCCCAGCGGGGAAGAATCGAGGACCAGCAAAGCCGTACGTGATGATACTCCGAATATCGATATTGCCATCGTTGCGGGGGTTCCAGAGCTTGATCAAGATGTATCTGCCTGACCTATTGAGAATGGTCAGCGAACTTTGAGTGACGGAATTCAACAGGATCTCGGAATACGTACGCAGGTGGATCAAACTTGATGCTGACCATGCTCTTTGCTCGCTCGATGAAGAAGCGAGCATGTGGCTTTAACACAGGGGGAGATGATGAGCCTGCAGGTTGAGACTGTGGGGGCGCAGACGATGCAGCAGGTTCGACACGATTGGGGATCCGACGCCGTCTTTCAAGCCCGCGCTGTTCCATCTCGTACGACCATTCCACAGCCTCTATACGCTGTAGCATTTCATCACGTCTCCGGTAAAAGGTAGCCTCGTCGGAAACAACTCCTCTTTCAGTCTCACTTTCATCGCTTTCGGAGCCGTCAACATCATCCGCATCATCCTCATCGTCCATATCACAGCCATCGTCATTATCAGAGGCACCATCATACTCAGTCGTTACCTGAAACTCAGCCATGGGATCGGGGGCATCGGGTCCTGCGATGGTGCTGATGTCGCTATCAGAATCCGAAGGAGAATCTGTGTTCCCGAATACGGCTCTTTCCAAAGTCTGAAGGGGCGTCCGGAATGCGTTCAAATATTCCTCAGAAGGCTGCAGACCAGTACGTCTGCTCCGATTAGAACGACGAGGGGCCGGCCTAAGAATCTTAAACGCGGCGGTACGAGCCAGAACATCATCATACGCCATAGACAGGAACACCATTCCTTCCTGGACTCTAAGAGAACGGTCAGTAAATACGTGACAAGTGCACCAGTGACTGCTCGAGATAGGACATACGGAGCATTGTATCCAGATTTTGGAGCCTTGATGTCAATCTTGCTCAAGCAGAAGGGGGCATCTCCTCGATGTTTTAAAATAAGATTGCATCGGTCTGACTTTGTGCAGTAGACAGCTGAATCATTGCGCAAGATGTTCTCTGGCCACGAATTCTCGCCGTCAGAATCATCGTATGTCCCGCCGTCGCACATTTTGATTTCCATCTTGAGAGCGCCGGGTACTATTTGGCCATAATGGCCATAGCGGAAAGCTTGGGGCCCTTCTCTTTTATCATCTGACTCGAGCTTTCTGCGTTTGGCCCTCCGACTGTCCCCCTGCAGGTCGGTGTCTGGTTCTAGCGGCATCGCAGAAATGGTTTCATCGAGGGGTACGAGCTCGTCAAGAAGGGATTGTGCCTCGGGAGCTCTGTTTCGTCCTTCTTGGTGTCGATGTTGCATGGGCCGACGTCTTGAAGGTCTGCTGTCACTAGTTGATCGTATGGAATTCGAAGGAGCTGTGCTAGGATTCAATCCCGCGACATCGGTAGTTGAGGACCTCTGCGTCACTGGTCGTGGGTAGTCTATGTGATCAGCACCGCGCGTTTGTTCCTCCCTGTGAGGTGTGGCTGCCTGCAAAAGTTGGATCTGACGATCTACAGCTTCTCTAGCTTGCTCAAAGCTGGTCCAGTTGCGGGCTCTACTGGAACGATATTCCTCTATCTCCTGATTGAGTATTTCTAAAGCGCGGGTAGTCGCTGAACTATCCCGATGGCGCTCAGAGCTCAATAAATCCCTCAGATGTTGTAAGCGATTTTCAGTAGGTGGCTGAGATCTGTCAGAAGTACGACTTGCCCCAGGGGCACGGCGAGAGGCAGGAGGGTAATCGTAGTTCCCCGACTACAGTTCGAATATATAACAGTCAACTTAAGATGCCAGAAATGGGGCTCCACGAAACAACTTGAGGCTCGATGGAAGCGACCAACGAAGTGAATGTAGGATGCAGAAATACTCTGAGTTACCCACGCACCATTCTATGGGATTAATATGCCGTCAGCTGGCGTGACAGCTCGAACCGCTCAAGAGGCGGAGATGCACTATACCAGTATGATTGAAGAATGTAAGAAACAGAGAGATATCGAGATGATTATTGAGTAAGACGAGACCCGGTCAAAAGGACAAATGACCTGACCAAAAGCTTGAACTCTGAGAAATAAAGAGAACAGATACAACGACTGAGAAATGGAACAAAGAAAGTTGTCGGGGCTTTGAGTTAAAAGCAGACATTAGCCAGAACTCAGACGATATGGAGGAGGAGAAGCTTAGTATTATTGATAACAGCGGGAAATGACGCTTCAGTGAAAGGCGATAAACTTATCGGCCATGAAGTGCGGCACGTGATCCATGGATAAGGACCGGGCATTCCTCATTCAACACTCCCTCTGAATGCCTTCTTTGTCTTCTCTAAATTCACTAGCTTCTGAATAGTTCTGCCGGTTATCTGCATGTGAATGGCATTTGAGGGACTGGACGCTTCCCCATTGCTCTTCTACCCTCTCCCTGGTCCTCTCTCTTCCTGGTGACTGAGCAGCTAGCACTACTCCTCATCTACACCTCCGGACTTCATTTATCTAAGGACAGAAGATCGGCGCCATTCTGGCTGAACTCAGTCATATTGCACGCGACACATTGACCGTCACTTGCGCAATCTGTTACCTCAAGAACTGCTCTCTTCAGGCTCGACTTATTGAGCGCCGAGCGCGATTCTCTTACCGTCACAATCATTCTCAACAGAGACACCAGCTTAATTGGATTAGGAAAGCAGCTCTAGGAAATCATTCGCGTGCTGTAACCCTTCAAACGCTCACCAGCCAGCATGGCATCGTCTCTAGAAAACGCAAGCCAATCGATCAGTGCTGGTAGGTGCACATTTCCCAACGACAGAGAGCCCAGGGCTATATGTGTCTGACATGCTATGATCACCAGATGAGATTGCTCTCTATGATCGCCAAATCCGTCTTTGGGGGGTCAAGGCCCAAGAGAAGTGAGTATTCTGAATTCCCAGCCGTGCGCGTTTGGGGGCTGATTCTGAATGCTGTTCGTTTCAGGATTCGGTCCGCAAATATCCTTCTGATTACGTTCAAAGCATTGGCAAATGAAATCGCGAAGAACCTCGTTTTGGCAGGCATCGGTACTCTTACTATAGTCGATCATGAGACTGTTAAGGAAGAAGACCTTGGAGCTCAATTCTTCATATCCGAGGAGCATGTTGGTCAGAATGTATGCTGTCAATCGCGGGGAATTTCAAGTTGAGGTAACATAAGAGCTAATCATGAGGACAGCGCGCCCAAGCTGCGGCCCCGGCGATACATGCGATGAATCCTAGAGTTCAGCTTCGGATCGACACAGAAGATATCCAGACGAAGCAACCGGACTTTTTCGCGCAATTCGATGTTACCATCGCCACGGAGCTTGACTTCCCAACTTACTCCACAATCAATGCCGCATGCCGCATCTCCAACCGTCCATTCTATGCTGCCGGTTTGCACGGATTCTACGGCTTCGCATTCGCCGATCTGATTTCTCATGACTTCGTCATTGAACGTTCCAAATCGAATGTTTCGCCGTCAATTCAAGAGACGCCCACCAGAAGCATCATCAATATCACCACAAAGAAAGAAAATGACAAAATCATCGAGATGGTGGCCAAGCGGGAAATCTACTCACCCCTCATCCTAGCAAACACATCACCTCTCCCTGAAGACTTGACCCGACTGCCGAGACGACGGAGACAGGTCACGCCACTTCTGACATGCCTTCGGGCATTGTGGGAGTTCCAGAAGCTTTCCGGAGGCAGATTGCCTACATTCTCCCGGCAAGATCTTGAACTGTTCACCAAGCTTGCTCGTGACCGTCACCAAGAACTGAAGCTTGACATCAGCACTTTGGACTCGGAATTCTTACGAAACTTTTTACAGAATCTCGGCAGCGAACTGAGCCCTGTGGCGGCGTTTGTGGGCGGTAGCCTCGCGCAGGACGTGATTAATGTGCTGAGCGCAAGAGAGCAGCCACTACAGAACCTCTTACTATTCGACGGCGACAAGTCCGTCGCGCCCATCTACCCTTTGCATCCTTTCTTCCCACCAGAGGTGGACAATGCTCTTTCTGCCGGGCCTCCTGTTGCGAATGCAATTCCCATCAACGGCGAACCGATCGCCGCTCCTCTACCCACTAATCTACCTACAAACCTACCTACAAATATTTAAAACCTCCCAATCGTCCTAGTTGCAAGTTGACCGGCGTGTCGGGATATCGCACGCACTCTTGAGGCTGCACCTCTGGTCTTCCTCTTACGCCCATGTGCCTCAATACTTTTATGACTTGTACGATAGGTTCCGAAAATGAACTGGCTAAACCATCTTAATATAGACCGCGTCGTCCTTTTGATACAGGCCGACATGAATGAAAAAAAAACATTGGTCTTCTCAATTATCCAATTAATGATCCTTGTAAAACAATTCCATCAATCCGGTATATATACAAGCCAAAACAAGTCGCCGAGGGAGTCAGGAAGTATCGAAAAGCAGGGCACCCAATCCACCAACGCCATTCCCAACAAGCACCAAGAATCTCAATCACGTCATAGTCATCAGAGCGAGATAGGTCCATTCTCTAGTTTGAAAAATATGAAGTACGGGCCTTTTGGTGTTTCTGGAACGCAGATTGTCTCTTGCGAGCCCACATATAGATAAGTCATGAAAGAACAAGATTCCGGCGAATCAGGTCGACGACGTCTCCTTTCCAACCAAAGGGGCGCTCTCTTCGTCTTCCACTTTTCGGGGACCCATGGCGTGGTTTCGGTTACCCGGCACGTCCTCATCTTCTTCGTCGGAGATAAGACCCTGCAACTCAAATGCCTCGGCGTCATGGACCTGCTGAGTCTCGGACGCCGAGCGGGCGTGGCCGTTGATAAAAGTAGAGTCCTGAACTGGGTCTGTGGTGCTTGTTGAAGAGCGAGAATGGGCAGAGGGTTTGGCGGAGTTGGGCCATGCATGAACAGCGTAGATATGCAGAAGGATATTGACGACTACGTCGAGGTTAGAATATAAAACCAGCGGCCTAAAAAAAGGAAAAGGGGCAAGACAGTCCACTTACAGAGGAAGAGAATGAAGGCAATGCTGTACAGGATCAGAACATAAGACACGTGGGTGATTCCGGCATCGTGGAGCAGCTGCATTTGCTCCTCTGTTGCGCCCATGAACAGAAAGCCAGATGCGTACAGGAGCTGTGAAAACCAGTTAAAATCCCAAGTTACGTCCGAACACGTGGTTCAAGAAGACAAATGCAAGATGAACTTACGAAAGGAGGCAGATATTGGAAGCTGTTAGGGTCCGAGCCGTCGAGGCTCACGGTATTTTTGTCCTTCAGCACAAAGGCAATTTCAATGATTCTGGTAAAGCCAGCAGCCATCAATGTGTAGCCGAAAATGGAGTGGACCATGGTGCTGATCATCAAGGTCTGGGGATGAGCCGACATCGCATAACCGGTCAGCAGAATAACGATTGCGGGAATGAGATTCCGCTTGGGGCGGCCATTTCTCTTCCTGCTCATCCAAATACCCAAAAGACCGGCACACCACCAGACGATGCCCATAGTAGTATGCTGCAGATCATTGTGTACCCATGGTCCTCCCCAACGGTGCTCCGTAAAGGTGTTGACGCATCCCCAGGCCGCGATGACCAGGGAGTCGAAGAACTCTTGACTGCGGCCGGTGCGGCGCAGCCAGTACTGACCAACAAGCAGCAGGATAGTAAGCATGATACCATAGGCAATGAACGCACTGCCCATGATGAAATGCGCCAGACATTGTCCGAGATGATCACCCTGGCAGAAGCCATTCGCCGCGATACCTCCGAAGAGCATCTGTGTCCAGCTCACAATCGGCATCGCCTTGCCGAGAACGCCGTGCAGCACCACGAAGAACCGACGGACCCGACCATGGATTCCTTTGGAGAGATGTAGCTTGAGATAAAGACCGATAACGACTTGCACCACAAGCATAAGCATCAACAGGTTCGCGAACGAAGCATGCACGTTCTTTCCGAACTGACGGCCCTTGTGAGCGTGGCCTAGGAAGTATGCAACGACTGCGATAACCGTGCCGACGATCTGAAGAGGGACATGCCACCGCGAGCGAACAATCTAGGCAAAACAAGTCGTCAGTCCAAACGTCGGAGCAATCTTCTGCGACCGGTCATTATCGACGGCCAAGGCAATGAGCATACCCCAAGTACCATGCCCAGAGGGAAGATGATGCCAAAAGTAAATCCCATCAAGATCATATGAATCCATAATGTCGAGTCCTACACCGGAGGGCAATGTTAGTCCGTTTGCTCTTACGCCTCAGGGCAGAATAGTAGCAAAGTGCGAACGACACGACACTTACAATAGGATCTTTGGAGACGGCGGAACCCTCAGGGACACTCTCGTGACCGCCATGAGCCGCGACGGAGGATGCCAGGAGAAGGGCAATAAGCACCCCTCGTAGGTCCAATATACCCATCATCTTCTTCACCAATCTCGAGAAGAGGTTGAGAGGGAGTTGAGGGAAGAAGGCAAAAAAGCGAGCAGAGTGTCGATGGACAAAGATGATGTACTCCGTCCTGGTGGAGCCCTCAACAGGTGCGGATAAGACGGGGACGATTACGAATGCCCGATTCGGGCTAGGGATTCGGAGTGCTCGGATTGGTCGGGGAGGGTCGTTTACTGTAGCTCTATATGTTCGACACCCTCGGGGATAGCCAGAGGAATGAATTGTTGATTAGAAAGTAATCTACCAGAATGGTGGCAGTATATATTGATACTGTTGTACTGTTTCAACATAGTGCGGATCTCGCTGTTCATTCTGTATAGCAAAGCCTCTACCGAACAAACAACAGCATCTCGTCTCCTCTCTGAAAACATCAACCACCGTGCAATAACTCTCTACTAGAGTCACACTGCATCAACAGATATCTTGTTTTGACTAACTACTCCCTGAAAAGCAACACTATCGTGAAAATCCTACCTTCCTCTTCCTATGGCCTCTCCAGGGAAGAACAGCCCCCTGCAGCAAACCACCGAGAACAGCGATATACTAGACCTCGCGCATCCAACTTCTGAACAGCAGATCCAGCGCGGCAGGAAGATCGTATGCACTTTTAATTGACAGTTTAGGAGCAGAACGAGTCCCAGCAGAAGCTGATAACAAACAGAAAGCACTACAGGCCTCCATCGCGGACCTCCACTCGCAAACCGCTCAACTTGAAGCTCAAATCGCAGAGATCAAAGCGAAGTTGAAGTACGTTCCCTTACTCATGTTGATTATGTCTAAAAAGTGAGACCTAATGCTGACATTTTTAAAGACATGATCCCTCAACTACGGTGAAACGCCATATTCGTCTGCTCCACGAGTACAATGAGATCAAGGACATCGGACAGGGTCTGATGGGTCTCATAGCTGACGCGCGTGGGATGCGACAGGTCGATGTGCAGAGGGAGTTTGAGGTGGGGGATCGAGATTGACACTTTTCTTGTCTCCTCACGCTGTACGATGGACATGATGTCTGGGATTCTGCTGGCAGATTTCCTCCGACAGGCTGTTTTGTGATGCATCTTGTTCTTCGTTTCCCTTACGTGAATATGCGTCAAATTAAAGAACATGATAGGTTTAAAATCCTGTTCGATTAGGAGAAGAGTGTCATATCGCCCACCCAAAAGTGATACACGGTCAACTCCAGTGATAGCTCTATAATAAGGCGCTTTAAGCAATGAAGATGAGGATTAGGTACAATGACGAGGATAATCAAGCTGGAAATTTTTACAGGGGAATCATAGACACATAAGCGGGGTGGTATATCCACAGTATTTCCAGCACCAAGATTGGCATGATTGAGCAGGGAGGAGGAAGATATTAAAAAAATTTGTACGGCATGAGAAGAAGGGAAACGGGATGATTAATGAGTCTTTCCGAGACTCTGCAGATTGACCAGCTCGTAATACCGACCCTTGTTTCGAATCAGCTCGTGGTGCGTTCCACTTTCGACGATCTTGCCTTGGTCGAATACGTAGATTATATCGGCCTTTTGAATGGTGCTCAGCCGATGGGCAACAGCAATCGTTGTCCGCCCGCGGGCAGCAGCATCCAGCGCAGCTTGTACGACTTTCTCTGATTCGGAGTCGAGAGCAGATGTGGCTTCGTCCAGAAGAAGGACCTTGGGGTCACGCAGCAGGGCACGAGCAATGGCAACACGCTGTTTTTGTCCACCAGACAACATGCCTCCCTTGCTGCCAACGACGGTGTCAAATCCCTCACTGTTGTACCATGTTAGCAGAACCGCCAGGCATTAAAGGAGTAGACGAGAAGGTAAACTTACGGAAGTGACATAACGAAATCATAGATGTTGGCATCTTTGCAGACCTTGATCAAAGTCTCCTCCGAGACGTCGTCCTTATCGACTCCGAGCAGGATATTTTCCTTGATGGTACCCTGATACAGAGTAGGTTCTTGGCTGACCAGGGCGAGAAAACTGCGGTATGAGTTGACATTGAGTTTGGTAATGTCCTTTCCGTCGACGAAGACCCCTCCAGCAAGTGTGTCATAAAATCGCTCGAGCAGAGCAATCGTAGTACTCTTACCGCACCCACTGGGTCCAACGAGCGCAATGTATTGTCCAGGCTTCACGCTCAGATTCAGTCCTCGAAGAACAGGCTGCTCCGGCCGCGTTGGGTACCTAAAGTGGACGTCCCGGAATTCGATTTCGCCTTCCATGGACTCCAACTTCTCGCCCTCATCCGACCAGATATCAATAGTCGGCTTGCTGTCGAAGAGTTTCTTGAATTGAGCTGCGGCATTCTTTGCCTTACCCATGTCTGGGGCAAAAGAGAAGACGGTTCCGGCTGATTGCGCACCAAAAAGAATCTCGGAAAAGCAGACGAAGAAGCGGAAGATGCTGTACTCATGATGGCCTAGAAGTGTACCACCATACCAGAAGCCTAAAGCGACGCAGAAGAACACCAATGCCTGCGACGAGGCATACAGCAGGGAGGATCTCAGCACTGAGATCAAACTCTTCCGTCCCTGATTTTGAAGCTGATCGTGATAAACGCTCCAGACATCTTGTTCGCGAGTGAGTGATGCTACGGTGCGGATCGCTGACGTGGCTTCGCAAGCATAGCTCGCAGACCCTTCGTAGGCAGACTTCGATCGTTGCTGGAATCGAGCAAGCATGTAGAATCTGAGGAAGCCGCATGCCAGCAGGATTGGAACGACAGAAATGCAAACCAGAGCCAGCTTCCATCCAATCGCCAACGCAATAATCATCGCCGCCCCAAGCGTAGTGCTAGTCATGATGATTGTGCCCAGAGTCACTCCGCTAACGCCCGACAGATGCTTCGTCTCCGTTGATAGGAAGGACGTCAAAGCACCGGTGCTGTTCTCTTCCCTGTCGAAAAATGAGATGTCTTGACGAAGGATCGATCTAAACGCTTGACTTCTAGCTCGGCGGATGAGTCTCTCCGAACAAATAGCAAATGCTGAACCGTTGATAGACAGGCTGATAAATTGAGCAATTCCAACCACAAAGAACATCAAGGACCAGAAGTTGGCATCATGCCTGAGTTTGTGAAACATTGACTCGGGTAAAGAAAGCGTGCTGATTGCCTTGGCGTACAGAAAAGCCTGGGTAGGTTGACCACCACCGGCAAGGAACGCGAAAGTCAAGCCAATGAGCATGTAACCAAGCTCGGGGCGGTTAAATGCACCGATGAATTTGATGAGGGTCCAGAGTGAGTACTTCTTGAGCTGCTCGGGGACTCTCTTGGATAGAACGGCACTCGAAACCGATTTTTGCGTTCCGGTTCGCTTCATCTCCAAGCGCGCCTTCTCATCTTCAGCATCGAGAGAATTCGAGCTGCTAACGGCAGTCTTGATGCGAGTAACCTCTTCTTGAGCAAAATCATCCGCGTCCATGCCCGCGTCGGCTTCCAGAGCTTCTGCTTCCTTCTCCTCGTTGATACGCTGCGCCTCCACAAGTTTATAGTAGGTGCCTTTGCGATCGACCAATTCGTCATGTGTTCCCTGTTCGGCAATCTTTCCGCCGACCATGGCAACAATGTTGTGGGCTGTTTTGATTGTTGACAAACGGTGAGCAATGACAATGGTGGTTCTACCTTCGGCAGCTTTATCAAGAGCGGCTTGGACGACGCCCTCAGACTTGGTATCCAAAGCCGACGTGGCTTCATCAAGCAACAGAATTTTGGGATCACTGACAATGGCACGAGCAATGGCAATACGTTGCTTCTGACCTCCCGAGAGTAAGAAACCACGCTGACCGACATTTGTCTCATAACCTTCTGGCAGAGCCATGATAAAATCATGAGCATTGGCCATTCTGGCCGCATTCTCGATGAGCTCTCTAATCTTTTCCTTCGACTCATGCTCAAATTTGGTGCCAATCAGGCCATGTTCGATGTTTCTAAAGATCGTGGTGCCGAAAAGGACAGGTTCCTGGCTGACAAGAGAGATCTGCTGTCGCAGCCAACGGAGGTTGAGGGTTTGGATGTCATGGCCGTCCAGCAACACCTGGCCTCCTACAGGAAGGTAAAAGCGCTCCACCAAGCCGACAACAGTACTCTTTCCAGAGCCGGATGGACCCACCAATGCGGTAGTCTTTCCGGCGGGCATCAACAAAGAGACATCTTCCATGACAGTAACTTCGGGTCTTGAAGGGTAGATGTGTTTGACATTGCGGAATTCGATATTTCCTTCGAAATGGTCGAGTTTCTTCCCTTCGTCAGAATAGGGATCCAGGGGCGATCTGCGGTCGATCGTGCTGTAAATCTTTGCGGCCGCAGCAACACCGTTCGTAAAGGCCTGGCCATTGGGGGCAACGTTGCCCAAACTGAACGAACCGATCAGGATAGCCATCAGAACTGTCAGAACTTGGCCTACGTTGACTTCTTTGTCGACAAGGAAGCGAGACCCCATCCAGAAACCGAGACCATAGTTCGAAAACATGATACCAAACATAGCACCGACCATCATACCAAGGATGACTTGTTGCTTGATGCCCCATTTTTCAGCCTCAGCCAGGTGAACTTCATATTGCTTGGCAAGCTTATCTTGGGTGCCAAAAGCGGTAGCATTCCGAATGGAGCTGATGACTTCTTCCGCGACAGTTCCGCCAGCACCGTAACTTTCGAGTGATTTCTTGCTGTATTTCACAATGAACCGCGACCCACCACCCATAACCATAACCAGGGCGACGATAGTTGAGGTACAAATCAGAGCCAACTTCCAATACTTGACGTAGGCGACGATAAATGCGGTGACAAATGTGGCGAATGCGGTCAAGGTGAGACCAACTTTCTCAGAGATGGCGTCCTGGATCAGGTTGGTATCAGCAGTGATACGCGTGGTCACTTCACCGGCGCCCAACTTGTCGAAGTAAGCCATGTTCTGCCTCAGGATAGCCTCGAGATAGTTTTCACGAATCTTCTGCGTGAGATGTTCGCCAGTATAGATGA